GTTGCCACTCTCAGTACACTTTTTGCTTCATCTCTGCATTACAGGTCTTTAAAAAATTGAGTTGTCTTCTAATCAACACAAGCATCTTCCTCAAAAAAAATTGCCCCTACAGAAAGTAAAAGCTTGATTTGGGAAGTGAAAAACTGTTAAAAAGAGTCAAACTGAGTAGCACCTTATTAAAAAAAAATCCTTATTAAATTATAAAATGTCCTTCAGTTTTATAAACAGAGATAACAAGGGATAAAGTGGGACTGTTACACAGTGAAGATGGAGGAGAGATTAAAGATTATTTAGGTATAATCCAAAAACTATATGAATACTCAGAACCAGTTTTCAGCAAAGACAATCACAAATATACAGGCAAAGGCAGGACAGCTGCTAGGAAAGAGGCTATGGAAGTGATACAGACAATGAAAACAACCCAAAACAAGACATATCATGATCTACTATAGAAAGAAAACATAGTGAATCCAGGAGAAGAAAGGAAAGGAAGGAGTAAATAATAAGACATGAAAAAGTAGACTCGAACAGTATTTCAACTATCCCTCATTGTTCACAGGAAAACAAGACTAATATTTCTTCCCAATCCAATTTGGGGAAAAATTCCTTCTCAACTCTCATCGTAGCCATTAAGCAGTTTGAAACAGAGCACATAAGCAAGACACACAAGATATATACCCAAAATCCAGTGCTTTGGGGTAAGGAACCCACTTCCCCACACTCAAGTCCTATATTCAAGGGGAAGGAAAATAGTTATCTGCATGTGACCTGCAGAACCCCTGAATGATAGGATTAATACAGCACAATATGACACAACAAGTATTGTAAATATATTAAAGATTCAAGAGGAAGGAGGAAGAACAAGGCAAGGGAACCTAATCCAGAAAGGGCTGGTCACAGCCATGCAGACTAGGGCTGTGCAAAGCTTCGGTCACCAATTCGATTTGGAGGAGATTTGGCCCGATTCGGTGGCCGAATCTCCGAGTCGAATCAGCAGACCCATTAATCTCTCTGAATCAAATCGGAAGCTTCCGATTTGATTCAGAGAGATTAGACGATTCGGACACAGACACATCTTTATATATTTTTTCTACGTACCTCAAGGTACCAGGTGGTTTGTGAACACTGAGATGGTGGAGCCCTTAGCCTGTACTTGTACATGTGACTGTTCCATCCTAAGTTCAGGACTTTGCATTTGTCCTTGTTGAACCTCATGAGATTCCTTTTGGCCCAATTCTCCAATGTGTCTAAGACACTCTGAATCCTAACCCTACCACCCAGCATATCTACTATTCCCCCCAGCTGGATGTCATCTGCAAACTTGCTGAGGGTACACTCTATGCCATTTGCCAGGTCACTGATGAAGACATTGAACAAAACCAACCCCAGGACTGACCCCAGGGGCACTCCACTTGATACCAGCTACCAAACAGACATCAAGCCATTGATTACTACTCTGAGCCCGATGCTCCAGCCAGTTTTCTATCCATCTTACAGTCCGTTCATCCAGCCCATACTTCCTTAGCTTGACTGCAAGAATGCTGTCGGAAACTGTATCAAAAGCGTTGCTAAAATCAAGGTATACCACATCCACTGGTCTCCTCACATCCACAGAGCCAGTCACCTCATCATAAAAGGCATTTAGGTTGGTCAGGTATGACTTCCCCCTGGTGAATCCATGCTGACTGTTCCAAATCATCTTTTCCTCCAAGTGCTTAGAAATGGATTCCTTGAGGATCTACTCAATGATTTTTCCAGGGACTGAGGTGAGGCACTACTGGTCCATAGTTCCCTGGATCCTCCTTCTTCTCTTTCTTAAATATCATCATGCCATCTCTTCCACAAAAGAATCAAAATCTACTCTGAAGAATTTAAGTTCCCTGAACCTATGAGGTCATTCGGGAAACCATTCCAGAACTTCCAGAACTTCATTTTTTTGAGAATTACAAACGTATCTTCTAATTTCCAGTTTAAACCGATTTGTGACTAGTTTGTCTGCATTTTTTCTCTACCCATAATATCTTTTAACCGTAACTAACTCTTTTTTTTCCCTGGTATTTGAAACGCACTTTATGCCTCCAAACATGTTTGTAAAAAAGAGTACTCATATACCTCTCAGCGCCCCCCATACTTTGGTATTTTAATCTCTTCTGACAAGACAGGCTCTCACCTAGTAATCTTACGGGCCCTTCTCTGCACCTCCTTGTTTAAATTAATCTTTTTTGAACAAAAGTGACCAGAACTATACAATACTGTAAATTAGGTCCAATGAGTGACTTGTATAACACTACTATTGCTTCCCTGTCCCTTCCAAAAATTAAGGCTTTTTCAGGTCTGAATCACACCAGCAACATGCAATCACCCAACAATCAAAGTTCTTGTCTCTCTTCTTCTCCGTTGCCTCAAATCTAAAAGCCACAGCTTATAACAAAAGTTCTTGATTTTAGTCCATGCACACAACTTCGTACTTTGTACTATTAAATTTCATACCATTTCTATTACCCCAATCCAGAAGGTTATTTTTATAAAACTTATTTTTCCTCTGCATTAGCGTTATTTCACCCAACTGTGTTATCCACAAATTTCCTAAACATGTCTAATTTGCGCAAAAAGACTGCTAATGAAGATATTAAACAGAAGGAGTATTTTGAGGAATATTATTAAGTAATCTCTCTCCAGACTGATAGCTTTCCTTTCAATATAACTTGATTTAATTTCTTTTTAGCCAGCTCCTTCTCCACCTCACAGTTACAGTATTAATCAGTACCTTCTCTGCCTCTGCTAAAAATTTCCCAAAGAATTGTATCCAAATGCTTTACTTAAATCTAGATAAGACTACACCTTTATCTAGAGGTCTGTTGCTCTGTCACAAAAAGGACATTAAATTAGTTGACATCAACACAACTGTTTTATATTTCTTTAATGAAGGTGTGTAGAAACACAGGTATATGCTGGCTTCATACTTGGGTTACATTTTCAAACTTGTTTAGCCTCTATAACTGTCCAGCTAATGTGATTAAACCCAACAAGTTATATGAAAATCAAAGATCTGCACATGCGTTAAAAACCAGTTACATAAGACTTTTCCACTCAGAAAAAATTACAGGAAACATTAAAAAACAAATGGTGGCTCTCTATATATAAAATCTTTAAAACCCTGTAACTTTTATTGAAAGGCTCAACTTTTGTAATTCTTTTTGAAAGGTACATTTATTAGCAACTTCCATGAAGTCTTAGTAGTTGATGGAAGATGATATACATCTAAGACACGTTTGATCAGTCTTTTGCTACAGGGTGCTATAAATTCTGGACGTGTGACATTTTTGATGAGCAGCTCAGAACTAGGTAGTTTAAAGTAAGCAGAAGTATTTAGCGAAAGTCTTTTTCACGTTAGGTTTCAATATTTCCATGTTTTCAAGATAACAAAAAATGCTAGAGCTGGGAAAGCAGTAACGGAATGTTAATGGTCAATTCCGAGACAAGATTATTAAGAATAGGAATGCAGAGGAACACTGAAATTTTTGAACAGATAATGAAAAACAGGTTTCAATATTAGTATGTAGGAAAGGTGAAAAGGAGAAAGGATGAAGAAGGATACCAAAATTAATAATTTAATTAATATTTAATTAACTTAATAACACTTCAATCGTTATCATAATGAAAAAAGTACTAAAACTTATGCATTTCTGTGATGTTCTCCCCCACTTTTTGCTTGCATATAATGAATTAAGTTTCCTTTTATAGCAGATTTTGGCAGCCCCCTCTTTTGTAAAATCTTGACATAATTATATATTTAGTGGGGGAAATAATTTTAAGAATCAAGCTTTGAAAGACAAAGATGATGTGGGTACAGAATAAAGGGAAGGTTCGGGAGGAATGATTTTTGCCAAGTTCAATTTGGGTTACACCAAGAGCTCCTCCAAAAAAAGAAAAAAAAATGGAGACCAAAGGCAAATCCATAAATTACCAAGGGGAGTACAAATAACTGGAGTAATGAAAGTAGATTATATTAGCTCAGCAAGGGAAAGAAAGTTGACAAATGGGAGGATTCAAAGATCTAAAGGAAGGAAAAGCTATTAAAAACTTGTTTAGAAAGGTAAAAATCCTTTAAACTGACTTGGAGAGGAGAGGTTGTCATAAAAATCACAAGTGAGCTCACAATACTGAATATTCTGACGTTAGCGAAGCCAAAATCTTTTCAATATTTTCTTTAAACAGGGAAACATCTCTCACTCATCCGAGAAACAAATCTTTCTAAAAAGTGTATTTTAGTTTTCCACAGCAATTGTAGCCTTTATCTAATCAGCTCTTTGATACTATTTTATTAAAAAGTCAAACTCCTTTTGTCAACAGTTCAACAATTACTCCATAATCCTTTCATCAAATACAAAAAACTTTGTAAAATCTGAAGCAAATGAACTATAATTTTGGCTGCTTACTCACTCCTCCTGTGGTGAATGTATTATTACTGTGACAGAGGGTGGTCCTTGTTGAAGTAATATTAGTTAAAGCTGCCTAAAGAAGGCCACTTAAATAAATGTAAATGCTATGCAAGTACCTAAAATAAAAGCAATGTCAGCCCTTTTACCATAAACTTAGGTTTCATCCCAATCAACTTGTCCTTTCTAAAATTCTAAGATGTTTTAGTAAGAGACTAGCAAAAATGTTCTCATCGCATACTTTTTACCTTAATATATATAAGGCTTTTCTCCCCCCCCCCGGCTTAACCCATTATGTTTTAATTTCATTTGCATGGCAAGACTGATACTAAAGTAGGTAACTCCCTAGGCCTTAGAGAATAAACTTAGAAAAATTATTCTCAGAAAGATGGCCTGACATTACAAATCCCAAATAACTTTTTCTTTTAAAGTATGTAGTGCAGGCTACAGCTATATAAATAACAACTACCTCTTTATTGTGACAATACACATAAAACACTATTCAGCCTCAAAACTAATGTAGAGGAAACTAATGATTAATTTCAGTTTTATTGGACGTACCTTCCTAACATCTGAGCTTTTAGGTTCTGTGGTCCAGGTGATGATTCGAGATACTGCCAACCGAGTCTCACTTGAATTAACAAAGTCCCCTGGGTCCATCTGCTGTGCAAGTGTCTCTATGTATTTAAGAATTGCAACTTTTACCTGCAAAGATAGCCAAGAGTCAAGTAGATTGATAAAAACTGTATGTTGCTTACAAAATAAATTTCCTTTTTTTAAAAAAATTAAACAAATTCAGAGAAAATTCACAGAATCAAAACTAAGTTGTTTCTTTTTTTTTTTTTCTTCACTAATTTTAAAACAATTACCTGGAATCAATATGAAAGAGAAAACCAATATAAAACTGAAAATTAACATACTGTACTAACAGACGTCTTAATTTTCACTAACACCAAGATCACCAGCATTACTCCACATTTAAAAGTCTAGACATTCATTTGTTTTTTGATTAGTTTATATTTGGAGTTGGGGGCACAAAGCAGCAAAGTATGGCAAAAGGGCCATTTGATCAATCCACGGATATATACAGGTGTAAACAGCCTCTTCCAGTACACTTTACTTTATTAGAACTCAGAATCCACTGTCAGTCCTTCCTGGAGCAGCAGCTTGTGTTTAGCATTAAGTATCTTTGGGATAAATCCTGCAAAGAACCTTTCCATTGTAAAAAAAAAAAAAAAAATGTAAGGGAGTTGAACTGTTACAATAACACTAAATTAGTCAGGGAGGTCAAAACAAAGCTGGTTGTGAAAAACTGCAGGTTTTCATAAAATTGAAAGAATGTGCAACAAAATGGCAGATGAAGTTTAGTGATGTACATGGGAAAAAATAACCCAAGATACACATATTCAGAGAGGATCTCTACATAGGCTGTTACTACTTAAGAAAGAAATCTTGGCGTTATTGTGGGTAGGTCTCTGAAAACTGCAGTCCAGTATTCAGTAGCTGTCAAATGAAAATAGAACGTTAGGAATTATTAAAAAGGGAACTAAAAACAAAACAGCAAATATCATTGCATCGCTATATAAATCCATGATTTGCCCACACCTTATATACTGTGCGCAGTTCTGTTCCCCCACCTTCAAAAGGATATAACAGAGGAAGAGACGTTAGAGAGAAGAACAACAAGGATGATCAGGGGGTGGAAAAGATTCCTTGAGGAGAG